CATTGAAGTGACTTATTTTATATTTGGATCCACTCTAGTACCACTGTGATAAACATATCCTTGACAAGTAGAGCGTAACCTATTACCATTTATTAGTTAGAATATCTGTAAAGACATTATTGTTAACAACAAATAAGCTTTGTAAGAAGAAAGAATGGATTGTATGTCTATTTCATTCAATTGTTCTTTTAAAGAATAGAAAAGTTGACAGTAGATAGAGTTTTGGAAACTTATTCTTATCATGAAATAATCTTTACAAAGTAAAGCTCTAGGATATGCATACTTCTTTAATTCAATTTAAAAATCCAGTATTACAGTTAATTGTCTATTTCGTCAGTCAGATGTTGAGGTCATATTATTATTAATCTGCTACACAGTTTGGCTCTACGTTGTTACAAAGCTTTAACATTTTTTGTGCAACTGTTTTAGAAGTAGCCTCTGAAATACAGATGAGGGTAATTAGAAAACTTTTAGCAAAGAGATTAAACTCTTAATGAGCTGCACACTACATACCAGTATGCTTTAATGTCTTCTGACACCATAATGCTGTAAAGTGAAGAATATAATACAGCTGACACGCCTCAGTTTTCATGCTGCTTACATTACTGAACCCTACAACTTATCAAAAAAGGTGCTACTTTTTGTTGGCTGTTGTTCAGATTCTACTTCATGAGAAGTACTTTAATCATACTACTGGTGTTTTTTATTTGCAACCAGTTATTTTTAAGTGGAATGTAAAACTGAAAAATCACTTGAGGGGATATATTTGAACCGAAATGTGACCCATTCCTTCCTATGATTTACTTTCATTTCCCTTGTCATGACTTTTATGCTCAACAAAACATCATGAAAGTAAAAGTGAAAAACAACGAATTACTAGTCAACAAGAAATTGTTTCAAAAAATATCAATTATGAGCTTTTAACAGAGTGAAAATTGAGAAATTCCTCACCATCATTGAAATTCCCTCCGGATATTTGCTTATTATATTTACGGTGAACACAAAGGTGTACCTAGTTTTATAATGTTTCCATTTACATAATGTACATGTACAGAGTGTAAAGAGTCTCAAGAAAAGCTGTGGAGCATGCAAGGTTTTTGTCGAAACAATGCTGTCTACTAAAATGTGTTTGTGTACACCTGAGAACCAACTACGGTTAAGGTAGCTGTGTGAATGCAGAAGAAAGTTAAGAATGGGAGAAAATGGAGCAGAAACAATGTTTTACGGTGTTTGAATATTCATCACAGAATATATGAGACGTCAACAGAAAATAACTCAATAAACAGGGCAAATTTAAAGGCATAATAATAACAATAAACGCTTTATTCCAAACAACATGTATGATTGAGTATGGAATTCTCAACGTGTAGTTTTTCAACAAAGTCACTGTCAAAACAATATTTTCAGAGAAAATGGTTATAGCATCTGAATGATGTTCATCATAACAGTATTTCAAATGGTTATGTGAAACAGGCAGCTGATTTTGGATAAGCGTCTCGTCTAGAATGAAGAATCAACAGAAATGTGCGTTCAAGTTTGGTGGTGACAGTTCATTCAACCAATACAGGAATCTGCAACTCAAGCTTAGTATCTGAAGGATAAGATTCACTTTTACACACTGAAAAGTTAACGTGGATGTAGCATGACACTTTTTCTCTATTTCACTATTTACTCTAGAAAAGGTGAGTTCAAAACAGTTTAAAAACATCCAAAAGTACGTGATACGTTCAGAGAAAATATTTAAACGATTAAGACAAAATGAAAGGAAAACATTTGATATATATGTTCGGTGGAAAAGTTTGGTAACCTAAGGTTCATGCAGGCTGCTTTGTTCATATTCATTCATACGTTACATAATTTGTTATCTTAAGAACGCTTAAGTACATCGGCTCAAGTAAAAAGAAGCAACTCTTTTTAACTTCTTTTTTCTGTTACTAGGTAAATAAGTTTATACTTTAATAAATTACCAGAACACTTGCTACAGCAATGCTGTGGGATTTTTTCAATTCACACTGATATAAAATGTGTATATATGGCAATAAAAAAAGGTGAAACCGCATTTATAGGGCTATGAAACCGAAGCTGATGTTGTTTTCAAGCTTCTAATTAATTCATCGTGTGTCACATAAATTTCATCCTTGGAATATCGGGTTTAAGCAGCACTGTTTTAGTTTAATCATTTCAGAAGGGAAAGCTTAATAAGCGCATAATCTTGAACTGATGATATCCTAGATTGAGTTACTGCAAAATATTGTGGAAACAAAGATGATACAATAAGCAAGGATTCTGAAGAAACAGCCTTTATGTTTACATACGCCGGCTGGCTTACTGTAACAGCTTAAACAACTAGTGCCTAGTGATGTATCAGATGTTGTTATCATTCAAAATGATCATTTCTAGACAATTTTTGCAACACCTAATGAAAGGAGTGTTAAAAAGGAAGAGAAATTAAAACACTATTACCTGAAAGAAAAACATGGCATCTACATCTTTATATGAAAATTGGATTACATTACAGAACTCGATTCTCACTCAATATCTAACATTACCTGACATCTACCGGTAGATACTTTACGTATAATTAAAAAGCTTGTGGTTAACGGATCAATAATAAAAACTACTTAGAGCTCCCCTTTGGCGCCAGTCAACTTACTGCTTTTCTACATAATTAAGGAACACTAGGGTTCACGACCTCTCAAATAATGCTCGTAGAAATTATTTCTCCAGTTTTGGTTTATTATGCCTATCGATATAAGAATAAAGACGATAAGTTACTTCAACCATAAATTATATCACCACAATCAGGACAGAGATTACGTAAACAGTGCACAAACAGAACCATCATATTCTAACCGGAATACAACTGTCAAACTGTTAAAGAGAAATAGGTAATCCAAGGCTAATACAAACATCTTGGGCCATTTAAATGTGCTTTTAATAAAAAACGAACCCATTAGGAAGTTATGAATTGATTCGGTTCATATTCATTTTTATTCTGAAAGAACTAACCATTTAGAAAACAGTGAAAGTTATGTTTCTTGAGTTTAACTTAAAGATTGTGTGAAAATTTAAGTAGAAATGTAAGTCTATGAAGCATAATGAACTAAAATTTCTTAAGCATGCATTTCAGCTGGAGGAAATATAAACTTTTCCAAAAACAGCAGTTACAAACGTTGGGTAATGGATTTGAAGAACCTAGTTTCTCAGCGTTTTGATCTTCCATTTACTCCAAGATAGATCTTAAAGTTCACAATTCTCTGTAAATTCACTCCTGCAAAGTCCTGCGAAACATTTTACTAGTGACCAGTAAATTATATTTCGCTAAATGACCTCTCAAGTGTTTCTTTTAAAAAACCTTTTAGCCATCAACCAAGTTATGTCTGATTCACACTTCAAGACGCTTTGCGACTACATTGTGTCTTGTATGTTTGTTGTTTAGGAACTTACTTCATGAATTTCACATTAACATTTGAATTACTGGTTTATTTGCAGTACTGTTCACACTGATGAAAAGAATTGACATTCATCTACTAATAAGAGTTTTATAGATTCTAAGGTGCAAAATGAATGCTCTTTTGTAATGCGGTTGGAAACAACAATATTTAACAGCTGCATTTCAACTTGCATTTCGCTAGGTTTTCGATTCAATGCTGCATTCATTCACTATATATTTTGATTGGCCAGCGGTAGAAAAACCTGTTGTACCTTTGTAGGTTTATTCGACACTAGTGTGATATATGCTCAGTTATAATGAATGTTGCAGTCATACGATTAATGTAAGAGAGGGGATGATGGATCGAATAAAAAACAGGTATCACACATGAAGCACTACGATTTAACTGCAAACGCAGTAAGTGCACATAACTATTCCTCATAAAGGAATACAAGTTTTAACTGCTGTGCATTCATAAAAGCAAGCTATCTATAGATCTGAAATTCACAAGCTTTACATACACTTGAGTAGATTTTGTCAACTGATGAAAGTTTTTACCGTAACAACCAACAATTTTCAAATCTTATACAATGTAACTAGGTATTTTTTTACAGCAAGTAAAAGGATAAAAATGATTACATGGATGTAATGAATACCTCTGTGCTACTGTTTGTGCAACATAAAAAGTTCCATGCAACGCTGTAATATATTCGAAGCAGAGAGCACCAGATTTTCAATAATTCTGTTGCTACTTTCAGTAAAATAATGTACAGACAATGACCAATGAAAATGGAGATAAATACCAGTCAGCAATCCATCATTGTTTCAGACACTTGATCTTACAATTAATAAAATCAAGGAAAACTGTGAACTTCTCCATAGAATTACTCTACAAGTTGAAGATTCAGAGTGCTAGAAGACATTCGCCTTACTGAGGGATAACTTTCGTATATAAGACCACCAACTCTGAGTTAAGCATTACCTTGTTAAATTTTTAAATTTGATTCTACCTACTCTGGTTTAAACTAGGCTGCAAGAAAACTGTGAACTTATTTATTTTAACTTTCTATATGAATTACCACCAACAGTAGATTATCTTCATAAAGTACTTCTTTTGGTTCTTCTAATTTGTTTAAACATTTTTCTGGTGAATATCACTGTGTATATTTGCTAAAATATGTAAACTGTATTCTGGTACAGCGTCAGGTTTTCTAATAAACCCTATTCAATCTGGTTTTTGGTCAAGTCTATCAAGTAATTGTAAGATAAATGGTTATAATAAAACACCATTGTGCACTTATTTCTTTCTTGAATTGTTATTGCCTTAAAGTAATTGTAAGCTGAAATGTTAAATATAAAATCTTATACGGTCAAATCAGTGATGCTACTGGTTATTCTCTAGTATTTTGATCGTGTTTTGTTCTCTGAACTTAGAGAACACAACACCATCAAAATCATCATCCTGGGCTACAAATATTCTCCATCATTCTGCAATATCTCCTATAAATGCTGAGTAAAAGACAAAAATAAATTCTGTATTCAATGAGTATTCTCAGTCGATATTTACCAAGTCCTTATGGTTTTTATAAATAATAATTGGTTACGTAAATGAAAACCATCAAGCCATGATTTCCATATACTATAAGCTTCATTCACTACTTGAATTGAGAAATAAAGATGTATCATAACATTCTCATGGAATAAAACTTACCGAAGACCAACAATAATAGGTCACTAACTGCTAAAGTGAACAAATAACAATTTGTTCTTGTATGCATGAAAGAAGTGCGCACGATTACAATACATGTGGCTAGATTTCCAAGTAAACCAGTACAAAAGATTGCTGTATAGACAATTCCAATTAAAATTTGTCTTATTACTGACATCCGCTGTGGCCCCAATTCATGTTCTATCCACATAAACTTTAAATCCTCTACAATTTTCCGGCAGTTGGATGCATTCAAATCCATCATTATTTAATATGTTTAAATAGGATGAGAAATAAAAAACTGGATTTTGGAAACAATTTATGGTGTATGATATTTGATTAATAATTGTGTAAAATGAATATTTCGTTTTCGATGTCACAGTAAAAAATTAATTCTGTGAATAAATGCATGACTACACAAGTAAAGTTATTTAAAGGAGATTCGTTTTTTGAGACAACAAGTATTTCTTGTCACTCATTATTTTCCTATTGGCTAACAGAAGATAACCAATAGCTTCAAAGTTACAGAATGATGGGTCGTATCAAAGATTTTTTCTAATGTACGAAATTACTTACATTTTTTGGCCAAAATGAGTTAAAGCAAGCTGTTGATATATCTGAAAACTGTTAAGCTGGCTGTAATCTCATCACCTATTGGTCTGACATCCTTATTTTCGTTTCAACAGGTCAGTGATAGCTCAAAACCAGGAGACCAATTTCTTAACTAATTTAGATTCCAATAAAGATTTTCATTTGAATGAATGTTTATGTATTCAGGTTGATGTGCAAATTGAAACCGATGTAACTTTCAGTAAAATGCAACTCAGCCAAAACTTAAAAGTTCTTGCACCAAACAACAAGTCGCATCTACTCTCAGAGAGCTAATAACGTCCTATGTTCATGTGACTGGACAGGTTGAGCAGAGTTAGAACCCATGATTATTATTAATATAATGATATACCCCTTAGGTTCTTAGTGGAACATAAGGCTTCAGTAGCACACCTCCAGTGCGCTCTGTTCTCTGAAATCTTTTCAACCTGGCTCCACGACAGCCCACAAGCTCTCAGTTCTTCCTCATATGGTCTCCTCCATGTCACCCTCGACGCTGACGCCCAGCTTGTCGTATCCCATTTGGCTTCCACTCGATTGCCTGGTCTGGAGTATAATGTCTCCAGTCGGCCTTCTCAGTGTATGCCCAGTTCATTTCCACTTATTTCCGCATATTTGTTGGGTGATAGGTTCTTGGCTGGTTCGTTGCCCGGCCAGAGTTTCTCGTTCCTTATTCTTATTATTCTGGCCATTTGCTCTTCAGTATCGAGCATAGGCAGTTGTTGATGTATGTCTGTAGTTTGTTGGAAATGCTTTTCTAACGCGCCAAGTTTCTGAACCATCACATAGAAGCACTGACTTGACTGAAGTTTGTGTTGAAAACCCGGATGTTGTTCATGCTTTAAGCTGAGTGCACAAGATCTCCACACTGGTTTCTGGTTAATGAACACCTGTATTGCTTTCCGATCCTGTCTTTGACGTCCTTGTCTGTGACACTTGTAGTTGAAACGATGCTGTCTAGATAAGTGAAAGAGACTACTTCCTTAAGGTTCCTTCCGTTTATGGTGATTGGTGCTTGCTGTTTTTGTTGTTGGTGGGGTATCTTCATCACCTCCATTTTCTCTACATTCACTTGAAGTTCCGTCCTCACTGCCTCTTCTGTCAACGTGGTAGTTTTCGCCTGTAGATCTTCGAGTTTGTGCAACACTAAACCTAGGTCACCGGCGAAATCCAAATCTAGGCTCTTTTCATCGGTCCAGCCAGCGTATCCCCCTCTTCTCGCTCCTCACGGTTCGCATCGTCATCATGGTTTGCTGCATGATGCAATCCACCACAGTCAGGAAGATCATGGGCGATAGATGGCAGCCTCGTTTTACTCCTGTCTTCACTTCAAAGGCATCACTGAGCTTCCCATTGTGGATCACTCGGCATGTGATGTCTTCATATAGTTGTTGAATGAGGCTTATAAAGACTAGTGGCACTAAAATCGTAGTTTTAAAGCAACTGCCGGTCAAATTACTCTTTGGTTGACTCTGTCGAAGGCCTTTTCAAGTCGATGAAGTTGAGGTAGAGAGTTGACTGACATTCTATACTCTGTTCTATGATGATGTGTAGCATAGCATTGCAATTTGATCCGTACATGATTTGTTCTTCCTGAAGCCCACCTGTTCCGGTAGTAGTTTTGAATGCAGATCATCCTTTAGTCTCTCCACGATGATGCAGCGTAATAGTTTGCTTGAGGTGGACAGCAGCATGACTTAGGTCGCCCTTCTTCGGAAGTTTGACAAGGTAGCCCTCCTTCTAATTGTCAGGTACCTTCCCTTCCTTCCAAATCTTCTGCAATAGTGGTGTGAACATGTCCGCTGTTGCCTCTGGGTCTGTTCTCAGTGCTTCTAGAGGAATCCCATCTGGTCCTGATGCTTCTCCGGATTTCAGGACTTCACTTCTGCTTTTGTCGCAGGGCTTGTTTTTACTGGTAGTTCCGTGGCTGGACAGCTGGTGATATTTGTGGACGAGTCTCAGATGGTGGTGGTCGATTCAAGAGTTTTTTGAAGTGGTCAGCCCATTGTTTCGTTCGTTTCTCCTCTTTGGGGGTATCTACGTTTCCTCCACTTACACTGGTTTCGTATGCGTTGATCTATCCCCTCCCAGATAGTAACCTGGTTACTTGATATAGTGTTGTCAGATGTCTGTCTCTCCTACCTGCAGCCTGTTCTGCTTCATTTGCCAGTGTGTCGTTGAAGTGTCTTTTGTGTTTCCACGCACTCTTCTTCACTTCTTTGTCCAGTGTAGTGTTTTATAGGTTGTGTTCAGTTCCTCTTTTCGCTGTTCATTCCTGCACCACACTGCGTTTGGTTCATCTCCTGCTTCACCATTCTCCTCTCCTTGCTCCATCAGCTTCCATATGTCAGTGGAGATCCATTTCTTACCTTGTCTTACCTCTTCTTCTTTCCTAATACGGTTATATGGGTTTCCTTCCACTTCGCTTTCAAAGAGTTCCAGTGTTCCTCCATGCAGGTTTCTTCAAGAATGTTGCTCAGTGTCTCCCACTTTGTCTTGATGGCTGATTAATGTGATGTCCCTTGTAGTTTCGTCCTCCAGTTCAGTTTTTGTTTTAGGTGTTGAACTTCAACTGTGGTCGTCTATCACCAATTTTTTTCAAGGATTTCAACTTGATTTGCAAGGTTCCTTGCACTAGGTAGTGAGTGGTGTGAACCTACATCTGCTACTCTTCTTGACCTTGTGTCAAGTAGGCTGACTGCATCTCCACTTTCTTCACATTGAGATGAAGTCGATCTGATTTTCAGTGTAGTGTCCTGTTGTCTGGTGAAATCAAATCCATGTCGCTGCCTTGTGAATATCCTTGTGTTTGTACACACTGCCTCCAATCACCACATCATTAAATGTGCAGAAGTCTGCAAACAGTTCTCCATTCTCGTTCATCATTTCACCGAGTGCTTCTCTACCCATGATGAGTTCTATTCCTGTGTTCACCACTCCCAGTTTGGCACTAAAACATGTCACCCCACCCATTGGAATTTTGATCTCGCCATGTGGGCTGGGGTCTTGTCCAGTGTTGATTGTCGTTGTCTATAGAATTCCTCCTTTTTCTCTTGCTCTACATTATTTGTTGTTGCGTAGTGTAGTATTGTATGATTGTGACTTTCTTTCCTTTTGAGTTGAATCTTGTTGTCATGATCTTGCAGTAGGAGGTTGGTTCCCTCTGCATAAGAGCCTTTGATGCTCTTGGGAAATCATGATAGCCACTCCCTCAGTGTGCTCGTGGTTGTCGTCTGAGTAAGAATATCGCAATAGATTATTGACTGTCGAGTTGACAGTTTGGAGAGTCCTCTCCGATTCCACCTGCTTTTGCAGATTGCAAGCCCTTCTATACTTTACCTTCTCATCTCCTTTGTAATGTGGGCAGCCTTGCTAGGTTCAAACATAGTGCGGACATTTCATGTCCACATGTTTACTTTCGCTTTCATCGAGAGAGTGGAGACACATCGGTAAATTGGCTTCCCGAAGGCTTTCACCAACTGGCGTCATTTCGCTTCTCCGATTCCAGCTAGGAATAAGTTTGCTTTTATTTTTATGTTTTCTCTGCGCTTTGAAGTTTCTTTAGCGATTGGATTGGTTTTATGGGGCAGGGTTGCTAGCCGTATGCCCAACCTTCCCTCTTTATCCGGGCTTAGGACCATCTAGTAACTAGTGGACTAGTTAACCAGGAGAAGTTAGAACCCATGATTAACTTACTAAATTCATTGTGTATAGTAAACTGAGCTGCGACTCTGAGCTTACTATCGAGACCACCGTGAGTATCTAAGCCCATCTTTTAGGTTCACAATATGGTCAGTGAAGTAAATGCTACTGTGCTGTTTGATGCTAAATGTTAGGAGTCAGTGGGGATGATTAAGTTTTATTTATTTTTGACACGTATCAGAAGACTTATGTGCGATCTCATAAAAGTTCACTACCCATATAATATTTCATATTGAACCACACACTTCTGAAGCTGAAATCCTTACAGGTTTTAGGTCATTACTGCAAAGCTATAGGGATTGATTATTGGCACGAACTGATTAAAAGCTGATAAGAGAGGTAAATGTCAGGTTTCCAAAATAACCTGAATTTGCCTAAGGTTGCACATATATCGTACAGATGAGTTTCAATAAGCATGAAACCTAGTTTCAAGAATCTCTATAAGCTGAATCTTACTGTGATACTCTAAAACTTGTGGTGAATCAAGCAAGATAAAAGGCCAACCAGGTGCACATCGCACTTACGTCTTCATAATAACTTATTAGGCATGTCATGATTTCAATACTATTGAAGTTAACTATAACTTACCATAAACTGAACACCCGATTTACTTTGACTACAAATATGAGGGCAGGAAACAGTTTTCTGTGCACTCTCTATACTCATACTTTTACATAATCTGTGTTATATTTCAAAAAATGAGACTGAATTTCTACACTTGGTAATCTATACTGACAACTTCCTGCACGTTCGTACATAAAGCTTAAACACTACATTACTGCCTCTTCTTATTACATGTATGAATTTCACTCATCCTAACCTTTGTGAATCCTTTATTTTATTGTTAGTCCCACCAACAACTACCGTTTTTACAATAAACTATGTTTTTCAATTATTCTGTTCATCGCTTTATCAGAATTTCTCCAAATTAAACTGTTAAAAGGGTTAATATTT